TCAGCAGGTACACAGGGATGATCAGTCCCTGCTTCCCCTTCTTGTCCACAGCTTCGTTGCGTGTGGTAGGACAAGAAGGCCACACGCCCCTGCTTGGAAACATCGGAACCCTTAGGTACAGGGGTTGACACACACGCACACCGACATAGATACACACACAGAGACCCACACACTGCCTCAACACACTCGACTTAACACTTCACACTGAACACTTAACACATAACTCACACTCTAACTTCACACGTGATGAAAAATGCTCTCGGGCCACTCGTCGTCTAGTTTTTACTCGTCTTATCGTTTTCTGGGGTAGGAATGCATTAGTAGTGTTAAGGTGCATGCCAATACTAAACCGCTGAGCGCGGGGTTATTTCAACAGCCCAGGTGTGTAATCTTTTCAGGGTCCAGATCTGTTCATGGCCCTTTTTCTCACAACGCCTCGATGCCCTCCATCTGCGGCAGGGTGAGCTCTCCAACCAAATGCCGGGTTTGGATCCTCGCCGTGGGCCGCAACGGACATGTTCGCCTGGCATGAACACCTGGACGCCCTAAACGAGCAACCAGTCCCAGACACTCCACGTATGACGTATGGAAAACATAAATTGAACCCCCCAAACCACCCCATACCACCCCAACAAATCGGCAACTACCACCCCATACCACCCCATATACATGGAGTGTCTGGGAGTGGTCTTTTGAGAACCTGCTCGAAGAATCCTCAAGACCGGTCCCAATGCATCTGGAGTTCGGGCCGGTTTCGGTGTAAGATCTGCACAGCGTTAAACAAAACCATGAGCTAACCAGCACAGCAAATAGACCAGACCAGCAAAGTAGACGAAGCTGCGGGTCCTCGACGCCCTCTGAATAGAAAAGGGCGAAGGAACATCAATGTAGACTCTCTCGTGCTCTCTCTCTCTCTCTCTCCCGAGTCATGCTGTATACTACAGCCGTCCCACAGGGATACAAGCCTGCACACCCGGCTGGTGAAAACATCATCAATGTGGACATATGTTGGCACCTTGCCAATGCATCAATCTGGACGAGCCTTGACTCGGAGATCGCATCCACGCAATCACAGCCCACTCCCCCAAGCACACACAGCCCAGTGCTACCCCCAACACGACCGGCACCCACAACGGGGGGGGAGATGGCGCACCAGGAGTAGATGCCAGAGATGGCGCCAAAGCCCAGCAAAAAGGCACCACAGCGCTTGGGAAGTGTAGGTGGTGGCCAATCCTGAGATGAACACTGATGGGACTTGGAGGATGGTCGAAGGTCGGCCCCAATTCTGCTTCTGCGATGGTCCAACTTCTGAGTTTGGCCAACAAAATCAACGCCGCCACAAACATACAGCACAACTAATCAACACCACACCACAACGAACCCCGTCCCGCAAAATCCGGCGAACGCCTGGACTCAATGAGCCAACACAATGTGCACTAATTCTGTCAAGTACTTCTGATATGTTATGATTATATTTGATTATGATTAAGTCTTCACACCATCTCACGATGTAAAATGTGGACTCTTGTGCTCGTGAGCGTGACACAAAGTGGTCTCTTATAGCAAGGGGAGGACACCCACTCCCCAAGCAGGGAACCTGCCACAACCTGCCCACTGGAAAGCGACCTTCTTGAAACTTCGGGGTGCCACATGCTCCTGCCGTTTCTCTGCCGCCCTGCACCGCCCAGTCCCCGTGCCTTGGCCATGACCTCCGCAGGGTTGGTCACGCGAAAACACCCCGGCGAACAAGGAAAACCCCCAACAAAGTCAGCGACAAACGGCACTTTTCAAGTGAATTTCTTCGGAGCTGCTTTCAACTTCGAGGGATCAATTCATCCTTCGATTTCGCAGAATGTGCTCATTTGAAAGGATAACCAGTTATGCAGCCGACATGGTATCATAGTATATATATATATGCAAACCATGCGAGACATCCAAATTTCACCTACATGTAGAATATCAGATTTCCGGTTGGCAAAAAGACAATCATAAACAAACCATTTAACAATCCGCAAGCACACGCACGACAGGCGACACGCCTGTGAAGCCATGATGGAAGCACTGACGCAACCAATCGCCCCTAAGCTGCCACCCATGAGGGCTGCTTTGAGTGCTTTCTGCCGACGAAAGGCTTGGATGTAACGCCTGCGAGATGGCCAACACATGTCAAAACACATGGATGGGGCACCTAGAGCAGCAGGTGTCACTGGGGGTCAACCTGCAAACCCTTGATGGATGGCGCAAGCCTCTCCCAAGACTGAGAAGCCAATCTATAGGGGCGTTTGCAACATCCGCAAGCAAAGATTTCCGAAACACCGCGCTAACCGGGTTTTGGCACAAAAAATCAACATCTTTCAACATCATTGTGCTTTTCCACGTGTTTTTGCACGGTATACAGTACATGGCGCAATTTGAACATGTAGCCTTGCGCCATCTACAATATGGGTTTTGCATGCACCTCGACCGCAGAACACCTTGGTGATAGATGGCGCAACTACTAAAAGCATCCAACAGCCGCAATCAGCCACTTTGGACCTTGGCCTCACAAGACCTGAAGATTGTGGTACGAATCATGGTTCCGTATCTGGTGAGGCCAAGCAGCTCATCGCCGGTCAACTGGTATCTCATCCAGTTGTCCATGATGCCGCGAGTGGGGAACTGACAACTCTGGATGGGCTGAGTAATTCTGCTCCGTTGAGTGGGGATCTCCAGGACAGATCCAAAATGCTTGTGGACGAGTCCCAGGATCACCCAGTATCTTACCTTGTGATGCAGCAGTGATCTTCACAGGCGAATGGCGAATGCAGTGCGAATGCAGTGACATGTTTGTTCAACCCATGAAAAAGACGCGAGTGCTTAAGCTTGGACTATGTGGCCTTGAGCCCAGTAAGGCAATTGCACTTGCAGCATTTAGCAAGCAATTTGTGGTCTTCATATGTTTCAGACTGGCCTCAACTAACTGCAAACAAAATAATGCTTAGATAAATTGTGGCGATACTATATATTTATGTGTGTATAAGGTATTATATACAAATGGCTCAACACATGTTCAACAGCTGAACCAAAGACGTTACCAATGGACTTTACTTAGGGGGTGAATGAGAAGTTGCCAGCAACAGCAACAACAATAAAAACACCAGCAACATCACGACATTGCTCCTTTGCGATACTGTAGTCCAGCATAAAACTAAGGAGCACTGAAACCGTTCTAACCTCGATTCATAAATGTTTATAATTGTTCATATGCGTTGGCTGTTGCTCCATCTCTATCTGTTCTCGCTGCGAGGCTTTCAGCGAACAATGCGAAGCTTCAATCTGCTCCATCCCAATGGTTGTTTCGCACGTCCACATGTTGCGCTTCATGCGCTTCGACAACACATATCCTTAACCTAAGGCATCCGGACTTGATGAATACATAACCTCAGGACCTCAGTCCTGATCTCCGTTCCATGCCACCAGCCACCGCAGCAGCACCAGCAAAACCAGCAGCCAGGGCAAAGGCAAACTCTTGAGATTTCTTGAGTGTCTGTTGGGCACAGTCTCTGAAACCACCGTATGTTCATTTTCGGGGTGTGGTAGCGGTCAAACGTTTGTCCTTCCATATCCTTCCTACCCCTCGAACCTCAAAATTGCCACCACTGAACTGCGTGGTTCAACAAATCAATCGCAAAATATATTCAAGAGACTAGAACAGGACATCCCATACCTCTCTTTCTGCGACTTGCCCACCTATTTTGTGAAGAACGTCTGACTCAGGCCCTGCCTTCATAAAACTTGTTCAGCTCCGCTTCTAGGAGGGCGCAAGTTGCATGACATGCGCAAATCATGCTCAAACCCACGGAAGTTGTGTTCAAGGGATGTCACGGCATGCCACAGTTTTGACAAGCGAAGCTGGTCCAGTAATTTTGGCACCAATCCTGCAACAAGCAGTACTTATGAGGAATCTGTGTTACATCTTTTGCCCAGCCCACACTGTAAACGCAGATTTTCAGAAGTCCATAGAAGTCCTCAACATATACTGCTCACCGCTCTCAAGTCTAATTACACAAATTGCATCAGCACATTACTGCTTGTATACTGATGGCCCTTGAGTGAAATGCACGTGGCTGTTTGACTGCGAAGTAAATGCTTCCTTACTTTGTCGAACCCTTTCCCCACCGTCACGCAGGAGTCCAACATGAAGCACAATGGCAACGAATGATTCATCATCATTCATAGTATCTTAAGCTCGAAATGCATCTGATAGAAAGCACATCTATTATCAGCGTTGGTTTCTGGAAAAAAAAATGACTTCCTACAGTTGGACCCTGACTCGGTAAGGAATTCTGCCTTCTCTCAGTTCCAGCTACGAATTCAAATCAGTGTGCATGGTACTGTCATTTCAACAGGCCTTAAGATAAACATGTGATGCAAACAACTCTCACCGCATGGTGCTGGAAAAAGGCTCCCAACTAATAACGTCGAATAGCCGTCTTGGCTCGTCCGACACCTCATCTTCAATAGCTGAGTTCATCAAATGATTCGCAGAGTCTGCTGGCATGTTGAAATGGCCAGTTCATCCTGAGCCTCATCTGACGGCACGGACGGCACGGCTCGAACAAAACATCCATAAGGAATCGGTTCATCGGAATCAGTTTCTTCCAGTTCATCATAGGTCATCCATAGGTTCTTGCCGCTTCCAGGCGAGAAGGAAAGTGGGGCAAGAACCTGAGTGAGTCCAATCTCACTGTTCAGCTGCAACTGTTCAACCATCAACAACGAGTCCTTCCTCTAGTGGAAAGGACGGCCCTCAGTCGTCAGTCGTGCTATCCCAGGTATACCTGTAACATGAAGCCGCAAACATGGTTGCCCAGGTGCCAAACACTCATCAATTGACAAAACACCATTGTACATTTTTTTACTGCATCTTTCGAGTTCCACAAGCACCAGGCCTATGGGCCTAATGTTGGATGCTGATTAGTAATAGGTCCTCTATAATGTTACTTGTTTGAAACATATTTCTGGACCCCTTGTGTGTTTTTAGGGTCCTCTATTATGCTAGAACAAATTGTGGATCCTATTTGTTTATTATCTGAACATATTTATAGGGTTAGTTATATTTCCTTTAGACAAATAAACATAGTAATTCTTAATACCACTATGCCACTAAGTCAATGGTTGGCTTGCTGAGAGTATTGACAAGTATAGGTTTCTATAGTTATTCTTCAAAACTGACAGCTTGCCAAAAACCATCAATTCCCTAATCAACCCTTTATGTAAAGATTGCTCCTATTGTGCAAAGTGTTTTCCCGAAGAAAAAGACTAATAAATTTTAATACTACTAAGCGAATGGTTGGCTTGCTGAGACTATTGATAAGTAGAGGTTTCTCAAGTTCTTCTTCAAAACTCACAGCTTCCCAAAGCCATAAATTCCTTAATCAATCCTTTATGTAGTAATTAGTAGTATGAAAGGATTGCAAAGAATACCTAATGATAAAGAATTTTAGAAAGGAACATGAATACTACAATCAATTACAAAAGGAATCCTCCTAGGAACCCAGATTTGGTTTGGTGGTAGTTATTATAGAGGACCCCCCATTTGTTTGAGGGGGGGGAGCCCTTTACTAATCAGGATCCCACATGATACTATACCGTTATAGTCTAGCTAGTTAAACCATTCCATGTCACCCACAGGAATTTGAAGTTAATCGTCTTGCTCCCCTTGAACCATGATATATTATTGAGCTTCGTCTAGGCCCTGTACCCGCTCCACAAAACAGCACAAACAGCAAGCTTTACTTCCTTAATGCTGGGCTGAGGCATCTCGAGAGGATGACAGCTGCGCCTGAAAGATGCGACTTCGTATCAACCTAGGTACCAGGCAAATGAACGTTTTTCAAACCTCCATCTACATAGCTCCAGGTAGCCCACCCCACACAGCCTTGCCTTTTTCCTCTGCGAGGAGTGAAGGCCAAACGCTGCCATCAAAGCATTGTGGGGCCGGTCGTCTCACTATTGGGCTTGGGAGCCCAAAAACCCAGGGACCAAAAGTGCACTCTTTTTCCGGACTACGCCCTGTCCACGCAAAAATCTTGTAGAGAAAAACATTAATCCAAATATAATATGGTGTGAATTAAGCTTGCACTTGGGAACGTTATATGATGATTACCGAAGAATACTCTCTTGCTATTGGCTGTTGATAGTAGACATGGGTCGGTTGAACGGGTTTCAGCCTTCAACAAAAAGGGCGTGGATACCTCTGTTAAATTCAAGGGTAATCGGCTCGTGGCCAAACTTGCACCCAACTGATCATGAAACTTCATGTGCATCACAATGCTCATCCGTCAAGTCAAAATGGAGCAACTACGTTCTTCCTCCTTCCGCCGCGGTCATCTGGGAGATTTATCCTGGCCAGTCGGGGCCAATCGCCATGGGGCCGCTGGTGTGACAAACAGGTTGTCATTAAGGAACTCCTGGTGTTACAGGTTTGTCCGAAAGCACCTGCGATTGGTACACAGGGCCACCGGAAGGTCTAGTGAGTCATAGCATGCCAAGCCATAGTGCAAGATCACGCAGCTGGTAGTCTAATTTATATATATATATTATTCATATAGATTTAGATCAGGGAGCTCTTTGGCTGCTCCTCCACATAGTATCCACATGTGTCCACAACCCTTCCCGGTGCAGCAAAACAAATCGGGACTTTGGGGGTGTTCCCGGGTGATGATGCTTCTCACCACGAAGAATAGTGGATGATGTTTCTCCTCTAGCGAAAGTTGAAAAGGGGTTGAAGGAAACCATGTAACATCCTGTGAGTCCTGTGTTTGACATTTGAGATGCCTTCGACCACGGCGTGTATAGAAGCGGGAACCTGCTTCACCATGTTTTGCCACATTGACATTCAAACATCAAATCCGAATACTAAAGTCATTGAGTTCTTCTTCAGTTGGCGGTCTCAGGCACGAAACCTCACGCTTCATGCTTCCGACTTGGAGCGAATCCCAGTCGCTTGACGATCCACGCGCCCCCCGCCGCGGATGCACCGCTGGACCAGGCGCCTTCTTAGGGCTGCCACTGGGCCGTCGACCAGGGCTGCCTTGGGGACGTTCTGGTGCCTGAGGACTGGCCTGGCGGGTTGCTGTGTGCATATTGAAGACTCTTTGGTGCATTTCGATGCCCGGAGTCCAGTGAGCAATCTGCATAGCACCCTGCTCAACGGAGCAGGGTGACACACTGCAAGAAACCGTTCCTCTGAACACAAACCTCACATGCTCGCCACCAAAGCTCCCAAACCTCAAGCTTAAACGCTCCCCGCCATCCGAAGGCTCAAAAAGAGTAAGACATTCTTTGGGCTATCCATGTGCACCATGGCACCATGGTGCAAAATCATGAAACACAAATGGCCCAGTTCCAGCCCAAAATCGGGCTCTGGTGGAAGTTGACATAGCTCTCACAGGTCGGGACGGCCGTCAACCGTGCCTGTGCAGCCTGCGCAGCCTGGGGCGTGGAGTTTCGCTGCTCAGCCTGTCCCAGCCACCTAAGTGATGAAATGGGTCTCCCAGTTGCCACTTGGAGGACGTAATGGTGAGTGCTATCTCTTCTTTCATAGATTATCATAGATTCATTTGCCGAAGGAAGGATAGTAATTTGTTGAAGTTTTTTGCTTAAAATGTTCTTTTGGGTTTAATATGAACAACCAACTGGACAAATAGTACATGGATATATATATATATGTTGCTCAACTGATGCTTTTGCTCATTCCTGCAATCTACAGTGCATCCATCTATCCTGTCATAAACCACCCTGCCATTGATTGCTCCTCAAGCCGCCGGCGCGCCGCGGGCAAAGTCTGGCATGTTCACACCGAAGGCACGCTGAACCCACTCGGCCAATGCCTGTGAGCAGGGGACCGCAGGCCCGAAAACAATGTCCCAGTCCTCAAGGATGGGTAGCAAAGGCCTGTACCCTGGTTGACCGATGCATTCCCCAGCGGATGAATGGTTTTCTACTGTTGAGTCAAGCTCTCTTGCACAAACTGGCGTATGCAAGCACTGGGATTACTGTATTTCATCCTTCCATGCTGTAGCAGTCCATCAAACAGCTTTGTAGCGACAAACAGCATGACGGTTGCTACACTCCTGTTGTTTGGCTTCATCTTGCTGGTACGTAGTACTTCGACTGATGCCAGCTGGTTACCTTCTGGTAATTGTTCATTGCGGGCACTCTTAGCAGCGCATTTTTTTTTTTTATGTCCGTCACCCTCGCCCATACTTGAGATAGGAGGGGGTGAACGAAAGGTAGCAAATCTTTCATATCCGCATCATCACTGGTCTTGCAGTGCGCGAGTCAAAGCTCTGTTCGAACTCCTGTTCACTCCTTGATTGTGACCCAAACAGCGACGGTGCAGGGGGGATTTGATCCAGGGGGGGCCCCGCCCTGTCAAACAGAATCCCTTCTTACAGGACCAAACCCAATGCATAATCCCAACTCCAGATTGTAATACATGTTTGCTAAAGCAAGGAGAACTCAGATAGCTGAAACTATTCGTGATTGTGCCTATATACTACCTCCAGACTACCTGATGTCAATGAGATCATAGTCGCAGTCAAAACATGTCAGAAGAATTCCGATTCAATCTTATCCTACAAATCCTATCAAATCCCAACTCATCCTACAAAAGGAGAAATCACACAAGCAGTACCAGTGCCGCAGGGCCATCTCAGCTGGGCACCTGTGGCAGGGACTGGAAAAGGTTGAAATGATCTGAGCCGTTCAGCACCTGCATCTCCTTCGGCCCTGGCCTCAGCAACAGGCTGCAACCCATGATCTCCCTCGGCATGGCATGAAAGGTCCAGAGTTGGCAAAACTCTGGCAGGACCTGAGGTACCAGTTTGGTAAGGTCCCGGGATTGATTTTGGGTGTTTGTTCGTGTTGTTTCTTGATTTTAGGTGCTGGTATAGCTGGAAATGCAGATTTCCTGGTGAGCAGAGTTATGGGCACCTCGGAGTGCACTTCGGGAAGCACGGAGTGCTGATCTTAACATCTAGGCCTTGTGTCAGATGGCAAAGGCGTGGTAGCCCTTAGCATCCAACCTGAAGATGTACTATGTTGGAATGCTCCCTTTCCTCCTTTAAAGTCTACCTTGGCAGCGCGTTGTATACCTCGCTGATCTAAGCATTCAAGTCTTTTGTGAGATGGCCAAAGCCTGGTAGCCCTTAGCATCCGCCATTATGGTCATTATTGGGTTGCGGTGGTCTGATGTGCAAGAGCTGGTGAAAGATTCCCAAAAGGTATACATCTATGTTAAGTTGTGGTTTAACTATCCCTCAAAAGCGGCAGCAACAACTAATCAAAGATCAAAGAAACTCACTACGCTACAGTGTAGCCAACCAGGGGAAGCAGCAGGAAAAACCAACCAAGCAAGAAAGAAGGTACAAAAAGCATGGAAAAACAACACAAGCAGAAAGAAGCAGGAAAAGCAAAGAAGCAGTGAGAAGCAAGGAAAAGCAACACAAGCACAGAAAAGCAGGAAAAGCAAAGAAGCAGCGAGAAGGAAGGACAAGCAAAACTAAAATACCCCTCCGTTTGGTAGTTGGCTTCTTTCCCGTCCTGCATTCCCCTGCTCACAGCCATAGAATGCTATCAAAGTCCATGACTGCCCTGAGATTGCCAACGAGTTGTGTAATGGTATGTAATCTTAAAATGCCTCGAGCATTTACAAGGCAAACCGTTGCTTGAGCTGCGGACACGCTGTCGGCAAAGCCTGCACCAACAAGGAAGCACTCCAAATTGGATAACACATTACAAGCGACTTATAATGTTAGTAGAAAAAACATAAAAAAAATAACACATCGGTGAGATGGTTCTCAGAAAGGAAGGATTCGTCACGTCCTTACATGCACGAACTTCAGTCTAGGACGGCCTTCGATTTGTGCGCTTGTGGTATGCTTGTGGCATAGTATCAACATACATATGCGGTAATACACAATTTTACACACAAGTTCGAACAAGCATCACTTTGAAATCATAGCCTGTCATCTTGTGCCTGATGTCGTCTACATCCAAAACATCCTAAGATTACCAACATGAACCCCATTCACGCTCATCTTCATTAAACACATCTCCAACCCTTGGAACCGCGGCCTTTAAAGGATTGCATCGAGCAGAATTGGTCGTTGGTTCCCACCTTTTGAGCGGTCGCATTCTGTCCCGGTCCATTGGAGTGAGTGAAGAAACCGCAACCCGAGCATCGGACCATTGACATCGGATCAGCCATCGGATCAGCCAGTGTCAAAATGTGCCAAGAACCAGAATTGTCTGACGCACTGGACGGTTGGCTTGGGTCTGCTTTGACCAGCTGCCGGTCCCCAATGGGTCCCCATGGGTCAAACAGCGCGTTCGGTTTCGCCAGGTGTTCGGGTCATACCGTTCATCCGATAGAAACTGGTCCCAACGCTTCAGGAGGTAACTCATCTGTTCTCTCCTTGTGGCTTCCTCCCACACTCTCCTCAAAGTAGCACTATCTCAAACTAAATAATTATATATAGGAGATTCATCAAACATATTCGCCGCCCTTGGGATTGGTTCTCCCAGCGTTCTCTGACCTGGGCGTGACCGTGTCTGACCGAGTCATTCGGCCCCCCGGCCAGGAGCAGCTTTGGCTTCCCAGCAGAGCTGGCTGCCTGGCAAAAAAATACACTGTCATTGGATTCGATTCGCCAAACACCTTTATTCAAGGCAAAAACGACATCTTCCACCACTGAAGATGTGGATGTCGATTTCGATGCCGTACCCCTAAAACTAGCCCCTGCATGCATTGTTTGTGGCAAGTGTTCTGGGTAGTGCAAACAATAAGGGAAGTTGCAACTAATCCATCTGCAATGTCTAGCCTCTTGCTCCCACTGTTCTGAGTATCCTTGTTACATATTGTTAAATATGCTTTTCCAGAATGACTGCACGAATGGCAATCATATCTCCCCGTCACCAAGACGCGGACGCAGCAGCTCAAGCACTTCCGTTTGATAATGATGGTACGATCATGTGCGATCACAGTCCGACTCATGTCGAGCGTCTGCATGCACACAAACAAACAAATAAGCGTCTCGGATTATTTTTTTATATCCGGATGGATTGAAAAATATAACCAACTCACTGCACAGTGATGTTTAGCTTCTATATACTTATGTACCAGGATCCAAATGGATTCTACTCCTGGCGACTGGAGGTGCTTCAGATTTGCCCACCCCATCATCCTTCATCACCTGAGTTCTGGGCAGAAGGCCCACCCCACCACCCAGCAACATGGGCACCACAAAAAAAAGGCAGCACCAGGGGATGATGCTGGCCAGCGATCTCTTCATCGTCCCTTCATGGCCCCACAGCCTTGGCCCGGAGGTTGGCAGCATTGAACATGTAGAGCGCCCAGCCTTGCAAGGACCATCGCTACTAGGAGCAAGGATGCTACTAGAGCTTCTGGTATTACTATTAGTGGCAAGAAGCTACTAGCAACAAGGGCATCGCTATTGATTGGTAGCAAGAAGCTTCTAGCAACAAGGACATCGCTATTTGTGCAACAAGCTACTAGTAGCTCTTCTCTGTATCCCAGAAGTCATTTGAAGGAGCACCTGACAAACATGTGGGATGTCTGGCGCAGGCGCGTACAGCAATCAACAATAATCCTGGGTTTCAGCTATATCAAGGTGGTGGAAAAACGGAGAACATGATTTTTCCTGCCAAAGATCTGCCACATCTTAAAATCACCAACATGGACACTCTCAGTCAGTCCATCCATGTAGAAGTTGAAATCATGTGTGTTCTTGATCTGTCAATGTATGTTAATGCACGACTAAGCCCATGGACCTCTCTAGAAAGAAGCACTGTAGACGAAAGACACCGCACCAAGGAATACACCAACAGCGGCATTGTGCACAAATAAACACATCCATTCTACCTGCACAAACTGGGAAACTGCTGCTGGACTGAAGCAAACTGGCTGGACACAAAGGTCGAAGGAGATGCCAGCGATTTAGAACTCTGCCGATTCTTCAATGTGCTGAGCAAGGTACCACTATTTCATCAGGCCCCCCTGGGCCCCAAATCTCAACAATCCAAACTGGTGATGACTGTTTTGAGCCTGACAATCTCCGCAGCACCAAACCGCATCCCAAACATCTTGGTGTTCAATGAATGCCAATGCTCCAAGGAGTTCCAAGGCGCAACGCCCGGCTGTGCCGCCGTGTCGGCGGCTTTTACAAGCCGTTTGGGAGTCGAAGGAAAGTGACAGGTCGCCCTGCCCAGCCAACCCGGAGCCCTATCCGCATAGCCAAGTCCTTCCAGCCCTGAGCCCTCTGCCGTAATCAAGCGGTGGACCTATCATTGCATAGCCTTGGCTTCGCGTGTCAAAGACATGCGCAACATGCGGCGCAACATCCTCCGCTGGGAACATGGAGGGAACCAAACCATTGGAGATACCTTGCCCTTAAAAAAGCAGAGTGAAATCCGCCGACCCCGGCCTATAGCCAAAGCCTAGGCGGGGAGGCGCCTGGGACACCGCAGGGTGAAGCAGTTGGCCAAGCCTAGCAGAACCCTTCAAGCACTTCCAAAGGCGCAGGATGCAGCAGTTGGCCAAGCCTAGCAGAACCCTTCCAAGCACTTCCAAAGGCCTGTCCGAGGCCTCAGCAGCTGGCTGGCCTGTTGCGGCCTCTCTGTGGCCTGTCCGAAGCCTGCCTCCTCTCTTCTTATGGGCCTCTCTGTGGCCTGTCCGAAGCCTGCCTCCTC